TCACATTTTTGTTTAATTTTATATATATATGTAGGCCTATATAATATGGACCTATCTACATATACTGTATATATTATACACACACATATATATATATATATATATATATATGATATATATATTATTTCACGTTTTTGTTTAATTTTTTTTAAATTTTGAATTAAAAGGGCCTTGAGACGATTTTTAATGTGGAAGGCGCTATAGAAATGCAGGAAAATTTCCATTATCATTATATAGTTCTATTCAAAGCATCAAAGCAAGACAATTATGAGTTAGTCTTTTTCCATGTATGCTTTCCAATATAGTGTTTCTTTGGTGATCCTGCCTTGTCATTCCAAGTGAAGGCGTAGGCCTATCATGTTGATATATAATAAGTAGTGCATCTAGAACTAGCGCTCTTCAGCGCATATACAAAAGAGTGTGAAATAAGTCATGCTTTCCGATTTGGTTGGAAGCCTGAACAAAGCCTCTGTGGCCAAAGGGTTGGCAACAGAAGGCACGGGTTATACAACGACTTCTAGTTTGGCCAACGTTTTTTACACCTGTAATGGGCTCCTCTTCTTTCACGTTTACATCGTTATAGACCTAAGCTACCGTATATATATAAAAAACCCGATTTATATACGTATAAAACGTATGAAAAATCCCTAAAATCAACCTCAACTGAACTCAAACACAGAAACAGAGAAGGAATCTGACCCAGAATTCACAATTTAAAATTTAACCTGCCCATGTTTCTTCCCAATAATTACGGTGGTCCATAAGTGTCACGTGAAACTTATGGACCACCGTAATCCATATCACTTGGCATTTATTGTAAGATGTCTGATTCGATTCCACATAACCATTATTGGAATTGCAGAAACTAAACAGCAAATCTAAACCAGTAGATAGCAATACAAATTGACACCAACCTGAGATAACAAATGTGAATCCTGATATGAATATAAAATGATCATCTTTGTTGGTCATAACTGCGCATGCGAAAACCAAAACAGCTAGGATATCCGTAACCATGGCGATGATATGGAAGAAGCTTAACCAATAAGTGAACTCTAGATGAACAAGACAAATATAATGTTTAACTATTTATTGTTTTGCATGTTATTATTTATTTATATATTTATTTTTAATTGGATGGAAAGCAACTGAAACAATATGTCTGAATTGCTCAGTGATATGCTTATAGGCGCGTTGCGCAAACATATTATTAACATCATCACCTCTATTACCACCATCATCGTCATCATCATTATAATTATAATCATCATCGTTATCTTTATTAACGCCACCATTACGCAGTAGGTACAGCCCGTATTCTGGACAGAGAAAGCCCGTTATGGACAACAGCGCCCCATATAGCCCGTATTCTGGACAGATTTCAGAGCCCGTATTCTGGACAAATTTCACAGCCCGTATTCATTCTGGACAGAGAAAGCCCGTATTCCGCCGTATTCTGGACAACAGCGCCCCATACTATTCTGGACAACAGCGCCCCCATACAGCCCGTATTCTGGACAGATTTCACCAACCCAACTCTCATTACGATTACGATGATGGATAATAACAAAGATTGTAATATGATGTTAATTAAGATGATTATTACCATCATCATCATTATCATTATCGTCATCATTAATCATAATAAATAGTATTATCAAGTGTATTAATATAATTATGGGTTGTAATAATAATAGGCCTAAGTATAATGTATATTATCATTAATATTAATATACTCTAATCATAGACCTTGATATTAATGGTCTAAGTTCAATCTATGAGTACTGTCGTATTATCTCCCATAATTCATTTATGTAAATCACTTGACATGTTAAACTATTGGGACCGTATTATTACATACGGCATGCAATTCAAGCTGCAGGCTGTTTTTGAAACAATTAAGGAGAGACATTTACGACATTTACGTTTTATTCCAATTAATGTTTGTTCTCATTAAGATGCTGTTCAGGTAAATCAGTGACCTACTTAGCCAACCGGTGGCCGGATCTCCGAAGGTGCCTCGTACTTTACGATCCAGAAGAGATGAAAACGAGACCAGGTCACGACAACGACCTTTTTCGCTTCCTGAAATTAGATAATATAAAACTAACAATTCAGCTGTAGTATACACATCGTATATGATATTATACACTAGATATTGTAAAGAAATGATATAATGCCTAGAGTGTATA